GTGGAAAGGTTTGCAATAACACACTGAATAATAATCCTACACTCTGTCCTTTGGAGGAAAGATAAGTTCACAGTTATAAAAAAAAAACAACCCATTTTTCTTCAGTCTATTCTCATCTAGAGACACGTGTAAAGCTTGAGCTTACACTGTCATTTATGTTAGGATATAAATTGCTCGTCCTCACTTCCTCATCAGCTGCGCATGTTTTGGAGCCACGAATCTGCACTTGTATTTGTATTAGGGCTGCCACGATTAGTCGACTAGTCACGATTATGTCGACTATTAAAATCGTCGACGACTAATTTAATAGTCGACGCATCATTTGAAGCTTTGTAAGATCACAAAGGACGCAGGAATGAGTAGTAGGATTTAAGAGTGTAATAACGGACTGAAACAGAAGATGGCAGCACTGCATGTACAAGGATGCCAGCTGCCGTTAAACCCCGAAGAAGAAGCTGTGTCCCAGAATTCATAGCGCAGCTGTCAACAATGGTGGCAGCTAGTTAGTTTTAACTTTACTCTTATTATTCTTTCTGGGTCACAAAATAAACGTTTAACATATTTTCAGGCGAGAATGTAGCTGTGTAAACCTCAAATATCTGCTCAGTTTATCAAGACACCACATATTTTCAAAAGCGCTCTGACGTTTTCGGAGACGTCTGTTACCCACTAGCTCGTTAGCTAGGCGGGGGCAAGGCTAACTAGAGCCGTGAGAACACCGGACTCCCGGCAAATCGTTTTCAAACCCACCGCCGTCTTTCGCTAGTCAGGTTAAACATATATATAAGTCACTTAGATAACTTAAAAATGTTATTGTTTGGCTTTCTTTAGTATTTTATTTGTTCCTGAGTAAATCGGTTTGGCTGAGATTAAAGTTATAGTTTTTTGCACAGCTAAAACTGTCAAGCAGACAGCTGATTATCAGAAGTGTGAGACGCTGGAGAATATACTCCGGTGTCCTGTTATATTTTAGAAAGCAAGGAGTTTATTAAACTTCACCGAAACAATCTGCAAATTTCATTAAAAATTAATAAACTACCATCTTGTCTTTATTTTTAGTTAGTACAAACACTTCAAGCTGTAAGCTAATGATAGTTATATAAGACCAGATGCTGCTGGTGCAATAAGCTGTATGCTGTATGTCCAATGGATGATGATCTGATTAGTCGACTAATCGCAAAAATAATCGGTGACTAGTCGACTATCAAAATAATCGTTTGTGGCAGCCCTAATTTGTATACGAAGTAACTGCGTCTTTGTGGACAAATGAGTGCATTAATAGTTCACCCATCAGACTTTCCATTCTCATAGGGGCATTGTTTTTGCAAATGCATCATCATGTTAATGTGCCCTGTGGCTTTATGTCACAAAAGTGTTTTTTTGGCAAACCTCACAGTAGCTTTTTGATGCCAAAAAAGGGTTTTTCACTGGCGCAGTTACCTAATCTGGCCCTAAATGACAACACAATTTCTAACAATTAAGCTGTGCATATTTTATTTTTTTACTTGGTAAAAAAAATGGCAAGGACTATAACTCTGATTCTAACTGTGGCATTTCCATCTTTTTTAATAAATATAATTAATCATTTTGTATTAATGTGACATTTTTATCTATACATTCATACGCCACGTCATCCTATACAGTTAAAGCACTTTATCTAACTCGCATATATGCACAGTTTAATGCACAATAAACCTACATGTCGTATGCATGTCTTTGGACCGTGGGATGAAGTACCATTAGTGTTTGGAGGATGAGGCTCAAAGCAGAAGCCTGATTGCTGTGAAGCAATAACGCTACCCACTGCACCACCATGCCACCCGGTGTTTAAATAAGGAGTTACAGTACTTGTTAGTTACTAAAGAAAAATCAGGCTTTGGGTACTTGGTAGGGGTTCGCATACACTTTAACCTCATTCTGGGTTCTTCTAGATAATCTTTTAGCGAACCTAGTTTTTGGGGAATTTCTAAACTTAAATCATTTTATGTTTTTTGTTTTTTTTAGTTCTGGGTTTCAGTGTAGCTTCATCAGCATGAGTGTGTTGTGCTGATCAGCAAGCAATAGCAAGAAAATCTGAAAGGAACAATCAACGCCGGGCACAGTGTTGAAAACACGCAGTTCTTTGAATCTTTGGGCTGAAGGAAGGACAATACTCGGTGTATCAATGCTCAATCAACAATCATTTATTTCCATACAATTCAACAATAAGAGCATTACAACGTCCGGACGGGAGAGATGCTACCAGAGGGTCAGGCACATGTCTCAAAATGGTGACGGGTTGCTCAGCTTTTTATAGTCTCTAGTGGCCCCCAGCTAGTCGTAAAAGCCAAAACATCACATTTTTTCTCTGTTACAGCGCCTAAGTTATGACCTCGGCAGTTGTTTCTCTGCTTTCTGTAAGGTGGGGGTGTGGAATGTGGTCTGTCTATCTCCCCTGTCTTTAGACACAGAGTCTCCTGCTTACAACCTTCTCTTCATGATTCAACAATTAAGCATGTCAAGAAAACAGTGTAACACATTCCCAGCAGATCAAGGATACAGAGTGATGCACATTTATCTAATGAACTAATATGTGAATATGTTCTGTTAACTCAAAAGTATAATGAGAACTAAACTACATACAGATCACACACTCTATTTTAAAGGGTATAATATGATCTACAACAATATCATAATTCAACTATTTTGATTACATCTATAAGGTAACATATAATAACAGAATAATATCACAACAGCTAAAACAAAAACTGGTGAAATTGTCTTCAATTTGTTGCATTGTGCTGTGAGATTTTGTGCTCTTCGACAGATTCGACTACGAGGCAGCGCCACACTCGGGGCTCCAAAGAACCACTATGTTTATCAAGAGGTAAAAAGAAAATTCTTAAAAGCAAAAAAATATTGATTTCTTGTAGACTTTCTTTCTGATTTTTAAATTCAGGCAAAGTTTTTTAACCCCTGCACAGTGAATCATCACCACTTTGCTGGAGGTGTCCTTCCTGCACAGTATACTTAAAGTATAATGATATAATTATGATATAATCTTGTTATCTGGCACAGATGAAGACAAAACTAACTATGCTCCCCTACCCACCTGTACTTTCACTTTTTCGTTCACAGCCTTGCCTTCCAATTTACGTTTCCGAGCTGAAGCTTGCATTCTCGTTGTCGATGGGTATACAGTTTGGAAGCGGAGTGTTTTGGGTATGTGGTTTTTATATATATATATATATATATATATATATATATATATATATATATATATATATATATATTGTTATATATATATATATATTGTTATATGTTGGTGAAAAGCATCTTGAAATATTTTCCTTGTGCTAACTTTTCTTTTCTTTTCTATTCCAGGTTATTTTACTTGTTATGAGCATCAAGTTGATGGACCAGATCAGAAGGAAACAGGACTTTATGGCTCTTCTCGAATCAAACAGATACGTTCCCGGTGCTTTCTAGCCCCCTGCTGTTTTAATACACGCATCCTAATTTCCATAACCTGGCTGTCTTATCATTTTTCTGTGTTGATGTTTAAATGCATGTCTAAAAGTAATCTACTTGCGCACAGTAGATAAGATTTAAATGACTCGTCTGCCTTACTGCTGTAAAAAAAAATTTTTAAAAAAGGAGAGAGAGAGAAAAAAAGTGCAATTTAATGACATTAATCAATTTGAACTAGTTATCACATTTTCTTATGCTTTTTTTTCTGGCTTTTTGTTCTGTACATTAAGACTTTTGGATATATATCAGTGAGGCTTTCAAAAGGCAGATATTAATCTAATAATAATGAATCTGCTTCGATGTTTTATTGAAAGCTTGCCTCACTGAAGCCAACTGTAAGTTCTGAGTTTTGACGTATGTACCTCAAGTCAAGATGGCGTAATGAAACACGAATACTTGTCTTAAGCACACATTGACTTTTAAGCATTAGAGCAACTAATAATCTTTGCAAAATAATATTAATAACCTTTATGTAGCAGCTTTTTTAAACACTGTTTACAAAGTGCTTTGATTCAGTTATTCATTTAGCCATGCATATTACTGCATAATCAGGTGAGACAAGGGAATGATTCACATGTCTCTGGGACGGCAGAATGTTTTGATGCCTTGTTATGCACACTGAATATCTGAAACCTTGTCGCTGATTTCAGTTTTTCTTAAAGCACATCTAAAAATTCGACCTTGTGTGATCATGCCCAGCAGAGAGGAGCGGGTGAGGAGGAGGAGAGGGGATTCTATTTTGTTGCACATACAGTAGACACGCAGTAAAATCCTCTTTGATTTGAAGGTTTTGCACAGATGTTGGCAAGGCTGCTGCAAAGAGGTTGTGAGAGGCTCTTGTAGGAAAATGTGCCACCCAATTTCTTGTAGAGACTGTAACGCCCCAACTGATGCAACTCTCACCAAAGAAGCCTTTATGCCACGCCGCGTCTACTTTAACTTGCTGCATGAGCTGCCTGCTGTTGAAACGTCTACTCGACTCATATATTGTCAAATTAATTTAATCTGAAGCAGCAGATCCAGTGTCTACCTGTGCACTTTAACCATTATTGCCTAATATACACGTTCTGGCAACGTATGGTGTCTTTGTTTCTGTCACACACTGTTTTTGTTTTTTTATTTGCATGACATGATGTAATATTTTGTAAATAGAATGAATAAAACAAGTTTTGTCTTTTTTTTTTTTACGTCTTCATTTTATTTTGTTTTCTTACGAAACTGAAACTGCCCGTCCTCTTAATGACGCTAACAGCTCGGTTAACCCAGCAGCAGATGCTGAGGAATGTAAATGATAGTTGTATGCATTTTAAATGTAAATTTTGGCAGCTGGCCTAAATGATACAGCACAGTGAAAAAAAAAGGCACCTCATACTAAACACCAGTATATAACAAACACATCGTATTAAAAAATGAACACAAAGTAGAAATGTAAAACTCGAAATACAAAAAAAAAAAAAAAAGTAAAAAAAAACAAACAAAAAAAACAACAAAACATCGACAAACCAAATTTTACACAGTATAAAAAAATTAAAAGCTACCGAATCATCAAGTATTAAAACAATTCACACATGATATTCAGTTTGTTTTCGATATATGTTTAGTTATATTAGCTTTAAACAGTGCATTTTCACTCAGTGTTGATATCCCAGATCAATAATCTCAATCAACTGAGTTGAAATTCAGAAAGTCATAATAAAGCAGTCCATAATGCAGTTGTAGGATATGATATATTCAATATAACCAATTATCATAAATATATTTATTATTTAGCATGCTTAAATAATGGCCATCACTGCTGGAAGCATCAGAACTAGCAAAGACATCGGAAGTGGTCTGGAGGCTCTGTGAGGGTGGTGCAGTTGCCTGCTTTTGCCTCTGCACCTTAGTTCACTACCGAGGTGTCTCTGTTTCGATTCAGCTGGCACAAGATGGCTCTACACAACACGAGGGACTACATCTACAGGAAAGTGAAACAAAGATTGATTATTTTACTTCCTGTTCATCTTCTGTTGTTTCTTGACTTGCTTTGAGTCCTCTTGCAATTTTAGAAAGAGACTGAGGAGGGCAGAAAAGCCAAAGAAAACAGACACTTGCTCGCCTCTGGTTTCTTTAAACTCCATTTTTCTGGTCTTTTATGCTAAATTAGTAGATTGCGACTGTACTTACCCACAATAATAAAAATCCCAGTAACGTGCCCAAAAATAAATCTTAAATCCATGCATGAGGATTTCAACAAGGTACGTAAGGCATCCCTGAAACAGGAAAGGCTTAATAGGATACATATTTTCTAAAGATGAAACAAACAATTTGCATCTCAGTTGCATCAGATGACACCATAACAGCTTATAGAGTTTGCAAAGGTTCCTGGAAAAACTGATGAGAATGTCTTTAATACCTGTTCATAAATCATAACAGTCTGATTTTCCTCCCAGCTGCCTCCAAGAGTTTCCACCTAGAAAACATAATCATTTTAAGAAAAAAAAAAAGAATGACAAGCAGGGATAACAGAGACCAGAGTAATGTTTAAAAATGTATTTGTAATTTTAAAAAAATCTGAATAATTTTGGTGTATGTGGAGAGCAAATTTGCAAATTTATCCCAGTTAACTGCCATATTATCAAAAACAGATTGCATGTAATTGCCAACTTGATGCCATTCAATCACAAAGTGATGCCAGGCCGACTCTGCCTTGTTTCGACTCATTAAAATTGTTTTGAAGTTGGCAGCTGATACAGGAGGTCACTGAACTCGTCCCCATCTTCGAAGCAACATTTCAACATTCAAGTGTTTTTAAATCAATTGGTCCTCCATAATGAATGAACACTACTAATAATGACAGCCTTATATCAACAGGTTCTATTACAGAAGAACACAGTGTAGGCATGTTAGCTTTCACACTTACACACAGATTAGTGGACTCTTTGGCACAAAGGCAGGATTTTGGGATGTTGGACTTCCAGTCCTGGTAGCCCTGAAGTCTACAACACTCCAACTGAGATGGAAGTCAAAGGAGAACATAAGAATACTTAGAGACAACTGCAAAACAACCACTTCCTAATTACCTCAAATTGGCTACAGGTATTAACAGAGGTATGTTTCAGTGTGATTGCAAAAACATGGACATCCTGACTCGCAACCTCAAACTACGAGGTTTCTTACATCTGTCTGTAAATCGTCGAGCAACTCTTTGCTGCTTTCCGTCAGCGGCAAAAGCCTCAGGTATTCCTTCTTCAGCTCTTCAACTAGCAGCACAACAAAAACAAAGTAATATTAAAAATATTATTACAAACAATACTGTGTCTTCTAAAACACATTTTGGATTAAACTAAACAAACACACAAAAAACCCCCCCCAAAAAACCCCCCACAGAAACTCCACATTTTAAAGTCAACTCGGTGATACCTCAGGGTGGGAAGCCAGTCCTAAGAACAATAGAATGATAACCATCAACAAGACGATACTCTCTAAAAATCACTCCAACTGCATACTGTCACACACTGTCACAATTTTTTCTTGGTTCACCTATTTTGGGATATTTACACGTTTTATTTGTAGGTTAATAATTGCTTAATTCTTTGTTTTGTTATTTATCTTTGTAAGTCAGCCAGGAAGAACTGCAAGGTCATTAACTTTAAGTAAAGGGACTGGTATAGGACCAGCATGCACTGGGGTGGGCTTATGGTTTTTGTTTTTTTTTACCAGATTTGCAAGAATCCCTTTTAAGTTTGCAACTGCCAGAAGAACAAGTGAAAATGCAAACTGCATATTTTCAGTCCAAGGTGACAGTATTCTGTTTTTATAGACAATCCCACGTAACAGACAGGTCTGGCCCGGCTCTAGTGTGAAGCCAGACACTGCTGGCTGACTGGCATGGTAAGGGGTATGTCAACCAGATGTGGGCCAGGTCTGGCAATGATGGCACTGTTTATGTGATGGCATGCCACATCTGGCCTGATTGTGGTTTGGCTTATGCGTCCCAGATCTGTCGTCTAACCGGCATGAATGTGTTTTCTAGCAGTATCAAGTTACTAAAGTTACTATTTGTACTGGATGTCACAAATCCTCACATCCTGTGAGGTCAGATACAGATTCAATAAGATTTTTCTATTTTATTCTCAGTTTCCAGGAATTTCAATTTGTTGTTAAAAAAAAAAGTGTTTTGGTTTTGTCTCCATAGGACTCATTTATTTCACATGAAATATGTTAAAATGGTATTAAAACACTGTCATCATGTCAGTTTGCTGATAAATGCAAAGATTAATAAGCCATCAGAAACTCAGGGCATGCATTTGAGTATTGGTATGTCACATATTTAGACTGCTGGGGTTGTAGATGTGATTTTAGCGACATGCCTTGGAGGTGTTTTACTCTATAATCTGCTATTAAAGACGTAACTAATATTAACCGTGTTTTGTAGAATGATTTCTAACATTTAATGTTGTTAAGGCATTTTGCTAGAGTTGTAATTTTTCAGTCATGAGTGAAATGCTTAAGTTATCTTCAAACAATGTATTTAGCCTTTTATCTTGAAAATGTATTTCTACCTCCATAGAACAGCATATTACATTTTAACGTTCCCTAAAGTAACATGCTGGGACTGTAAGGGGGGATTTAGCTTTCATAGCAGGCTTCATGATCATGCAATTGCACCCAAAAAAATTTTTCATTCCAGGATCAATACAGTTAGAAGAGACCTGATCAGAAAATTGTAATTAAGAAAAGGTAATGCCACTTCCATGTTTAAAGAATATATTGTTATGGATTAACTCTAATCAGTACTACCTTCTTATTCTGTGTTTACTTCATGTTCTGTTAGGTCTGGGCTTCCCGGTGATCGTCATTCCCTGGATGGGGCTTCGGGAGATGAACTCCCTTAAAAGAAGGAGAAGCCTGTCAGGTTCTGTGACCCACCTGGCAACTCCAGCCATCTCCTACATCTACAACTGCTTGAGGAGCCAGGAACCTCTCCTGTGGGGCCAGTCCATGCAGCAGGACGCAGAGAGCATCAGTGAGTGGAAACTTATGACGGCAGAAACAAATTAAAGACAGTTAATGTCTCCATTATGCTCCTGTTTCTCTGGTTCGCTCTTGTTTTTATCACTTGAGAAATATTGCTAAACTGAGTCCCATTGTATTATGCTCTGAATTGGAAATTGTTACACATGCATTTGTTTCATCTCATTTGCACTATTGTAATTGTTTGTTCACTTGTTTATGTAAGGCCCCCTTGGAACATCTGCTGGGTTGTTCAGAATGCTGCTGCAAGGTCTCTGACCAAGTCTTCTAACTACTCGCATGTCACGCACCTGCTGATGCAGCTGTACTAGCTCCCCATTAAATTCAGAGTCCACTTTAAGATTATAACTTTGACATTCGGGGCTCTGCATGGACAAGCGCCAAAATCAACATCAGAGATAGTTTACATCCGTACATCCCTAGCAGGTCCCTGGGGTCATGTGATCAGTTCTTGCAGGTTGTCCATAAAACTAAGCTGAAAACGAAAGGTGACAGAGCTTTTGTAACTGTGGCCCCAGAGCCTGACACTCTCCCTCTTTGAGTTTGAGATCTGTGGACTCAGGGGTATTTTTTGTTTTTTACTATCTTAAATGGATTTTAGTTTTTTCTAACAAGCTTTTTAAGAGTATTTTAAACTATTCTGTAAATTCTTGGAAAGTGGTCTTTTTTGGGGGGGACCTCTGCTACTACCAGAGGTTGTCTGCACCACACCAGGGCCTGTGCTGCTAGCATAAACCAACTGAGCCTCAACCAGGGCCTGTGCTGTTTTCTGAGGCCATCTCACTGCACCGGGGCCTGTGCTGCCAGCTGGATCCATCGGCACCATCCCAGGACCTGTGCTGCTGGCTGAGGCCATCTGCACCGCACCAGGGCCTAGCTGGACCCATAGGCACCACACCAGGGCCTGTTCTGCTAGCATAAACCAACTGAGCCTCACCAGGGCCTGCACTGCCGGCTGGACCCATATGCACCACACCAGGGCCTGTGCTGCTAAACCAACTGAGCCTCACCAGGGCCTGTGCTGCCAGCTGGACCCATAGGCACCACATCAGGGCCTGTGCTGCTAGCATAAACCAACTGAGCCTCACCAGGGCCTGTACTGCTGGCTGGGGCCATCTGCACCACCCCAGGGCCTTTGCTGCCGGCTGAACAAACTGCATCTGTGTTGCTAGTGCAAGACATCAGCACCACACCAAGGCCTGTGCTGCTCGAAAAGCTTATCTGCAATACATCGGGCGCTGTGCTGTTGATTGAAGCCTTCTACACCACATTGGTGAATGTGCTAGCAGAAGCCCTCTGCTAGCAAGCCACCAGGACCCGAACTTTTGGCTGGAGCCTTACTTGCCATCCTAGGTTTGTGCAGCCTATTTAATTCAGCATCAACAATCATTGTGTTTTGGATAATGGCTTTTTTAATAACTTTACTTTGCTTACTGGCCGTGGGGGACTTTTGGACACTCAATTTTTCTAAGATGAGAACATTTAACAGTGACCCCATTCTGCGTGACATGGTTCCCAGATCTACATGCGTCACTGCTGCTATACATCCTGTACAATTTCCAATGTATTTGGAACAGGACATTAATCATTTTGAACTACAGAAAGATTTACCTCATCTTCAAAACCTTCTTGCTTTGTACAATTACAAAATTAGTTACGAAAAATCCTGCTTTGTGTCAACATTTCACACGTCAAAATCAATAAGTACAAAGCAGAGACTTCTGATCGTCTTACTACTGCTCTTATCTGGTAATGTGCAACCTAACCCAGGCCCTGAGCTGCAGTGTAGCCAGACACCATCTGAATTTAAATCCTCACCTGGGCTGAAGATAGTTCATCTTAATGTGCGCAGTTTGTTACCCAAGATGGATATGATCAAGATCTGGGTTCAATCAACAGATGCAGATATTGTCCTCATTTCTGAAACTTGGTTGTCTAAATATATATCTGATGAACATGTTAGCATGGCTGGCTACAATATCTATCGCACCGATAGGTTTAAGAAAGGTGGTGGTGTTGCTGCTTATGTTAAGTCAAAATTTGATGCTACAATAGTTCTATCAGAATCAATTTGCAAACAATTGGAATTTTTGGCTCTGAATGTGAATGTTGCAAAGGGTCTTTGCATAACAGTTGCTTGTTGCTATCGACCCCCTTCTACCTCCACAGAAGCTCTGCGTTCTTTAAACCTTTTGCTGTCCAGACTAAATTATGGGGAGCTTGTTCTAGCTGGTGACTTTAACTGGGATTGGCTCAAAACTGTTTCAGATGATTTTAAATCTTTTTGTGATTCTATCAGTCTTACCCAGCTGGTCAATTTACCCACTCGGCCGAATCTCAAAAGCCCCGAAAAGTCTACCTTGATTGACTTGATTTTGACAAATGTTCCTCATAAATTTTCATCTTTGGGTGTCTTTTGTAACGACTTAAGTGACCACTGTGTTGTTGATGCTATTAGAAATACTAAAGTGGCCAAGTCACAACATCGTATTATTTTTAAAAGAACTCTTAAACATTTTAATGAGCAAGCATTTTATCATGATTTGTCAAATTATGACTGGAAGAAAATAGGATTGATCCCTGATGTAGAATTAGCGTGGGCATTCTTTAAGGATGGGTTTATGCAAATTGTGAATAAACATGCTCCATTAAGAAGATATAGGATAAAAGGTCGTGAAAACCCCTGGTTCTCCCAAGAGCTGGCAGATATCATTCATGAGCGTAACCTGGCTTGGGCCAAAGCGAGGAAAACAGGCTACCCCAGTGATTGGCTTCTTTTCAGACAACTAAGAAACAGATGTACTTCCTCTATTAAGAAAGCTAAAACAGAATATTATCTGTCTGTCACCACTGAGAACCTAAATAATCCACAGAAGTTCTGGAAAATCATTAAGTCTCTTTCAGTGAGTAAAAGCTCCCACGCTCTACCCACCTATGTTTTTAAGGATTCTGTTCCTGTTTATGATAGGAAGGAGATTATGAATTGTTTTAACAAGCACTTTATATCTTCTGGCTCTTTGTTTGACTCTCTGAACCCAGTCTCTGTAAAATCTGGCACAAACCTTCCGGTGTACACTGGTCAGCCATTTAACTTTGTTCCTTTCTCTGTGCAGGAGGTCTGTAAAGCTCTTAAACTGTTAGATCCTAGAAAATCTCCAGGGCCAGACTTACTAGATCCTTACTTCTTGAAACTGGCAGCTGATTTTGTAGCAGAGCCTCTCACAACACTTTTCAACCTCACACTGGATATGAATAAAATTCCCTCAGTATGGAAATCAGCTTTTGTTGTTCCTCTATTAAAAGGGGGCGACCCAGCAGTGTTAACTAATTACAGACCAATATCTAATCTATCTGTGTTGGCTAAAGTTCTTGAAGCTCTTGTGTGTGAGCAGTTAAAGGAGTTTTTGCACATCAATGCCATTTTATCTGAATATCAATCAGGCTTTAGGAAGAATCACAGTACTATCACAGCTGCAATTAGAGTGGTAAATGATATTACTATTGCACTTGATAAAAAACAACACTGTGCATCCCTTTTTATTGATTTGTCAAAAGCATTTGACACCGTTGATCATTGTATTTTAAAACTTAGACTCTTCCAGTCAGGACTCTCTGAGAGAGCAGTGGCATGGTTCTCAAACTACCTCAGTAACAGGACTCAGTGCATTAAATCTGACGGTCTATGTTCTGACTTTGTTACAGTGCACAGCGGAGTGCCACAGGGTTCTGTATTAGGTCCCCTTCTATTTATCATTTACGTAAACAATCTTAGTCTACATGTGCCAGATGCAAACTTGCACTTCTATGCTGATGATACAGTTATTTACAGCTGTGGTTCAACTCTTGTCCAAGCCATCGACTCCTTGCAGAAAGCCTTTTCTGCTGTCCAGCACTCATTACATCAGCTTAAACTTGTTCTCAACGCAGACAAAACAAAGCTCATGTTGTTTTCTAAATCAAGGAGACGAGCCCAAACAATCCCATCAGTAACCACTCTTGAAGGTAATAAAATAGAGTTGGTTCACACCTATAAATATCTGGGAATCTTACTTGATGACTCGCTTACCTTCAAACCACATGTAGAGAATCTTGTGAAAAACCTGAAGTTAAAACTGAGATTTTATTTTCAAAATAAGTTGTGTTTCTCTTTTAATACAAAGAAGCGGCTTGTTGCTGCAACATTCTTGCCTGTGCTGGATTATGGTGATATTCTATATATGAATGCTTCTTCTCAATGTCTTCGAATGGTTGATTCTGTGTATCATGCTTGTCTGAGGTTCATCACTAACTGTAAATTTCAGACTCACCACTGTGAGTTATACTCTCAGGTAGGACGGCCTGCTTTGGTAAGTCGGAGGAACTCTCATTTATACAGTTTTATATATAAGGCGATACTTGGGTTGCTGCCTTCTTATATATGTTCCCTGCTTGTAATGAAACATGCTGGTCGGTATTCTCTTCGTCCGCATGGTTACTTGTTGCTTTCTGTTCCATTTGCCCGAACTGAACTTGGTAAAAGAGCTTTTGTCCATTTAGCACCCTCGGCCTGGAACAAACTGCAGAAGGAATGGAAAATGACTGAATTCATTTCATTAAGTGATTTTAAATCTAAACTACGAATCCTTGAGGCCAAGTCCATAACATGCAACTGTTTCAATTAGATTGATTGTCATTTTAACTGACTTTTTATTTTATTTGAATTTTATTGAATTTTATTTTTATTTTATTTGTATTCTTTCACTTATTGTTGCATGTGTGTTGTTGCTGCCTGTGTTTGAGTAATTTCTGTAACTGTGAGACATCTGCTGCTGCCTATCTTGGCCAGGTCTCCCTTGAAAAAGAGGTTTTTAATCTCAATGGGATCTTCCTGGTTAAATAAAGGTTAATAAATAAATAAAAATAAAACAGCTAAAAACTCATTTTTTTTTTTAAACTTGCTTTTGGTTCAGTTTTGTTTTATCTTTTCTAAAGCACTTTGTGATTTTTATCTCGAAAGGTTCTATACAAATATAATTTCACTTACTTACTTAAATCTCCATTAGCTGATATAAGAGCTGACTGACAGGCTGTTGGGCAAATTGTTGACTTGATAAATAAATGTCACCCTTATAAACAACAGCAACAGGTAAACCTTTCTATCCATTACAACAGAATTGTCTTCTTTTCAGTTTGTCAATTAAAGGAAGCATTTTGTCATTACTTGACTTCATTGCACAGACACTAGGTGGCACTAACACCTAACACTTTCTCAAGAAATTAAAGTCACCATAATATACATTGTAAACTTGTCAAGGGCATTGCTGTGTCAATATTATGTTATAATGTAAGCAGTAGGCGTAGGACCTTTGTCACTTTGTGCTCGTATTCTATTTTCAAATTCACACCAGTTCTTTTTCCTGTTTATATGTATGTTTATGGACAGTTTAAAGTTTATAAGGCACGCCTGACTGTAACAGTAATACAGCAACCCTGCAAAATTAGGCAGAGGTGCACCTCTGTCCTTATGATCACATGCATTGTCTCCTACTGTCACCACATTACACAACCATAAGTCAGTTTTTTTTTGTGTGTGTGTGTTTGTTCTCAGGTAAAACAGTGAGTGAGACAGACCGTGGAGCTGTCTCAGTGGCCGTTGAAGGAGTCTTAGAGCTTCTGGAGGCTTTTAATATAAGATCAACACAGGTTCCAAAAGCGATCTCTCGCCATTTTGATGAGCCTGCAATGTCAAGTGAGCACATTTGAAGACCTAATTCAATTGATTTATGTTTACGTTATGACTGTTTGCAGCCACATGAATAGTTAATGATGTACTATGGTTGTTGTGTCTCTTTGTGTCATGTATATTGTGCCTGTACTCAGGAAGGTATGTATTTTTATGGTCTTAAAAAGTCTGATAATGAGCTAAACATTACCCAGAGACAAGTATGTATTTTCTAATTAGCAATTTTTTTTAAAATGTATTTTTCAAATTGTTTAACAGCCAAATCTTCCTACAGAGGGAGAATCCACCTGTGATGTCGTCATGAGGGATGACGACAAGAACGAAGACTCTCACCAGGAAGCATGGACTGTGTTTGAGAGGATGTTTTCTCATTTGTATCATCTAAGGTGGTTGTTTTTGTTATTGGAGTGTTGTGATTCCACTGGTGATTATACTACAGATACCAAATTAGGATTACTTACCAGCACATATGCTGTGATTTAGTTAAATAACTATGTCGCCATCAATTCAAAAGTGGTCGCATTCCGCTGTAACACTGTAGTATTGGGGAAAAAAACTTAAAGTGAGTAAAGTCTCTTACATAATTTCCCCGGGGATTAATAAACTACATTGATTCTAATAATGATGATGGCTGTAAAAAAAGAAAAAGAAAAAACTAACAACAACAAAAAACAAAAATGCAAATAACAGCCAAATCTTTCTAATTGTGGAGGAAGAAATTGACAAATTACAAAATAATCCAGCCCAGTTATTAAAAAGTCCATGCTTGGTGACATGAACTAATTTGCCAGGACAAAAACCACACTTTGGTGAAGTGTAGCTTGTTTTTTGTTCATTCTGCTGACCCCCTGAAATCTTTTGGTTTCTGTTATGTTGTAGCTCGGAAGTGTTCAAAGCTCTGGGCTTTGACCCTCACACCAGTCACTGCGTTCAGCCAGAGGGAGGTCCTCCACCACCACAGGAAGTCTTGGCCTGTTTGCAAAATCTGTCCATCATGCCAGTTAAAAAAATACCACAGGACATTTCACTCATCTTTCATTTCAGGTTTGCATAAGACCCCTTCCTGATCATTCTTTGGATTATAGCTGTGCCTCTTATAGAGAAATGTATGCATCACAGTCACCATTTCACAAATCTTATTTGTACATCTGGATCTGTGTCCTTCAGTAAACTCCACAGAGGAGTTTGATCTTGCTTACCTTTGCCTCAACAAGTAGCTTTTTGAAGGAGTCCTTTAAACCACCACCCGTCTCCTTCTTGTGTGCATGCGTTTTATGTTCTCATTGCTCTCAGGCTCCAGAGGTGAACCTCTGTCTGCATTTGTCAGAACTATGTTCCAAAGTACTATGGTGCCTGAGAGCAATGAAAGCATAAAGGACTGGTTTAAAGGACTCCTACAAATTGCCTAATAACAATCACCTGCTGAGGCATGGGTGTGTCCTGAGGTGGGCTATCAGCTGGTCACGGGACCTATTTAAAGGGAAGCTGCAGAGCAATGGAGGAGGCCCCAGATATGATGAGAAGGAATGTGTAGAAGTGAGGTATCTGATAGGTTGTGTAATGTGGTGACAATAGGAGACAATGCATGTGATCATAAGGACAGAGGTGCACCTCTGCCTAATTTTGGAGTAGTGTATCTCCACTGTTGTTTACTGGGTGCAGTCGTGTTGGGGGAGGGCTATTAGCCAGGACAGCTCCCCGGATGATGGTTTTGGCCCATATCGGTCTGCTTACAGGATGATGGGAGGCTTCTCCTCGTCCACCCGGGACAAGGCTGCCGTGGTCCCGCTCTGAAGAGAAAGTGCTTCCCGGTTGTCAAACATTATCTAGTCTTGTAGATGGTCTGACAGCTGAGAATAATGATGAGTCAATAACAACAGTGTGCTCTCATCTTATGCATGTGAGTTTGTCATTATAGTTTTATTTGTAAGAAAATGATGAACTTCACAATGTGTACCTAATCAAAGAACATTTCATAAGTCAGTTTAATTTCATTGCCCTATGAGAGCTGGGATAAACATATCCTGACAGTTACAGTTGAGCACACTTCAGTTAAACCTTGAAACAGTAGAGACAGATAGAAATAGATTCACCTTTGCATAGACAAAAGCAGATACCGCCTGTGTTCAGTCCATCATATTAAAAAGGAAACTATAACATGCTCCATGTCATCTTGCATCCACGTCTAAATTGTTGACAAGCAGCCCGGTGTTGTTGTTCTGACTGTATTTAAAACAGGGCTGTGCTGTCCAGCTTCAAAAGCTGGTATCTCTTGGTGGCGGTATTGGCTATATTAATTATTGTTAATTATAATTATTATATTCTTAGAGTTTTCTCTTTCTCTTATATTTAAAATAACCACACTACGGATGGATACTGTGAGAAGGAACATTTATGTGGATGACTGTTTAAAATCTGTTGCTTCACAAGAAGAGGCAGTGCGCATGCTGCAGAGGCTGATATCTGCATTAAAGGAGGAGCTTTCAAAATGGATCAGCAACAGTCACACAGTGCACATCTCAATCCCAAAGGAAAGAAGAGCAAAGGAAATCAAGGGTCTGGATTTGGATCAATTTCCAATTGAGAGAGCACTGGGTTAGTTCAAGTTCAGAAACTCTCCGCAGGATCGTCCACCAAGTAGAAGGGGCATTTTGTCTGTGATCGGCTCACTGCATGATCCTTTGGGAATTTTGTCTGCTTTCAGTATGCCAGCTAAACTGTTGCTACAAGAACTTTTGTTGACAAAATTTGAAGTGGGACGAAGTTATTCCCCACTCTCCCTCTAAGCGGGGGCGTGATTGGGTGGAGGAGCTCCAGCTGATTCAGTGGAATGCTTTCTTAAACCAAGTTCCACTGGAAGACCAGATAAAGCACAACTTCATCATTTTTCTGATGCAAGTCCAGATGGTTATGGGATAGTGTCATATTTAAAACTGGAAAAGAATAACATCTCAAATGCTGCCTTTAACCTGGGAAAAGCTAGAGTTGCTTCTTTTAAGCAAACTACAATTTCCAGGCTGGAATTGACAGCTTCAGTTCTTGCAGTTTGAGTGAACTAACTTCTGCAAAAAGAGTTGCAGGAAAAGTTTGAAAAATCTGTTTTTTGAACTGATAGCACAACAGTACTGAAATACATCTCCAAGGAAGCCAGAAGATTTAATACCTTAGCTGCAAATAGAATTTATGTTGTTCAAGAAGCAACAGATGTGAATAAGTGGAGATATGTTTCCTCTAAGGAGAACCATGCAGACGACGCATCCAGAGGCATGAAAGCTGAGGATTTTCTCAAATGTAGGAGATGAATAAATAGGCCAGAAGTCAGAGGAATGGCCTAAAATGGATGTGGATCACAGTGCAATTCCTGCAAATGACCCAGAGGTCACAAAGGACCTGACAGTGAGCATTTTTTGTGAAGGAATCACAAGATGCTACAAACTGTCTGATTCATTACTTCTCATCTTGGACAAAACTTCAAATCTCAGTAGCCTGGTTTTAAAGCTGAAAGAGACCTTGGTGTTGCTGGGACAAAAGAGGAAAGAGTTTGTTGTTGCAGATCTGAATGAAAATGATCTGGAAAGTCAAAAGAAAGAAATGGAAACAAGAATGGGAAAATCTGACTCAAGAAGATTTGGCCAAAGCAGAACAAGCTGTTATTCAGCATGCACAACAACAGAAATGTAAAACTGAAATGGCTTTAATAAGCAATGGCCTCAAAGCAGGTTCCAAGGGGAAGTTCTCCCTACAAGCTCGACCCAGCATTGGATGCAGGGGAATAAATGTGTTAACATTGATTTTACGGCATTTCCGTCAAAACTTGGCACATGTAGGAAGAGCGTACATCCTGTCAAAACTAAGACAAAAAGACTGGATAGTAAATGCAAATTCGGCTGCCAAGAAAATAATCTCTTGTTGTATCATGTGTACACGCAACAAAGAAAAGTTTGTTGAACAAAAGATGGCACAGAGAGAGTCCTGCCAGACATGGCTCCGTTCACAAATGTTGGAGTGGTCTATAAGGACAAAGTCTCTTTAAAAGGTATGGGGTTCTTATTCTTTGTTTGACCAGTCGTGCAGTACATCTGGAAATTGCATAAACACTCAGTAAAGACTGCTGTACAAATGCTGTCTGGAGGTTCATCTATAGACAAGGCCCAGTTTCGTCCATCAGATCTGATAATGCTAAAAATTTTGTTGGTGCAAATTGAGAGCTGAAAGAGAGCTTGGCTGAGCTGAACTATGCTAAAATTCAAAACGCTTTTATTCAGGATGGCATCAAATGGGACGTTAATGTCCCGGCAGCATCTCACCAAAGTGATGTGTGGGAGCATCTCATTCGTTCCATAAGGAGTATTTTAGTCTCAGTTCTCAAAAAACAAGCTTTGGAAGATGAAGGCCTCCAAACAGTCCTCTGTGAAGCTGAAGCTATATTGAACGACAGAGCCTTTACCAGAGTTTGCAGTGACTCAATGATCTTGAAGCACTCGCACCCAATTATTTGTTGCTGCTGTAAAACAAACCAATTTTGCCACCAGGAGTGTTTGATCAATGTGATCTTCATGCTAGGAAAAGGTGGAAATGGGTACAGTACATGGCAAAGCTGTTCTGGAAAAGATGGCTTTCTAAAGACATACCTCTGATGCAAGAAAGACAAAAATAGCAGGGGACTAAAAGATGTCTTATACCTGGACATATTGTCTTGATTGCAGATGCTACAGAGACCTGTGTTTTGGAAAGGCCAGTGGCAACACTTCTTTTGCTACTGGAAGCATCCTCTTGAAGAAGTAACATCATCATTGAAGATTAAGGACATGCCAGAGGGAATAGCTCCTTTTTTAAAGAATTTTGAAGTAACTGTGATTGTATGCACAATTAGGGGCCAGAGTGTTGGAGCCATTTATTCTTTATTTTTATTATTTTGAAATTTGTTTATCTTTGTAAGTCAGCCAGGATGAACTGTAGGGCCATTTTCTGTAAGTACTAGGACTAGTATAGGACTAGCATGCACTGGGATTGACCTATTTCTTTTTTACGAGAGCAGAAGCAACAGGAAACAGTAAAAACGTATTTTTGTTTATTGCTTGCCAAACTCAATAAATTAACCATAAAATGCCATGTTCAAGTTTTGGACATTGGACTTTTTTTTTTTTTTTGCCTGTGTGTAAAATATCACCACAGTGCAGCAGTGGCTTGTGGATTTTAAATTGTTGAATGTTTGTTTGGATAAACAATGGAATCGTCACTACAAAAGGTTTTCTTAAGATATATAAAACAGATGTGTTGCAACAAATACACAAAGACATATGAAACATCAGAGGGGGCTTTTTAAAAAAATAGTGTAGAGACTTTTTTAGTTTAATCAGTGCCATCATATCAATAATTTTTAGATGACTTCTAATTGTAAAATGTCTTTTAAAAAATTCTGTGGAACAGGTCAAAATTGAGTGATCATTTTACTTAATTAGTTATTTAGTAATTAGTATTGTTAGTTTATGAAAGCTGTAGCCATTAAGAAGTGGGCTTGTAACCTAAGGGCTGCATAACTTGATAAATCATTACTGGTTTCATCATGTCACTTGATTTTATGTCAAATTTAAGTTTATAAAACAAAACAAAACCAAGCTATATGAAGGGAATATAAAATGTTTTATTACACAATGAAAAACAGTCTTTCGAATTTTTCTAAAATGTTCCCACAAACCTGGGGAACAAGAATCAATACATTAACTGTGGTTTACACAGTTATAGGTGTAAACTGTAAGCTGTATATTTTCCTTTTGTCCTTTCATTTATTAGCGCTTTGGGGTCCTTAGGGACAAGTAAAGCGCTATACAAATACAGGCCATTTACCATTTATGCAGTGGATAAAGGATGTGGGATGTGCCACAGCAAGGATAAGGAAGAAACTGGATTGAAGGATTTTTTTTTCTTTAGCAGCTGATCTAAACGATACGGAGCAATGAAAAAAGGCATCTTATACTGAATACCAGTCTTATCAAATATGAGAGTATTAAAAAGCTTTGAATGGAAAAAAAAAGTCAGAGTTAAAGAAAAATGAAAAGCTACCAAACTACAAAATATCAGTTAAGCTTTAATTCACCCGTACTACTCATAAGTGCTTTTTTACTGAGCACATTAGCTTTAAACTCTGAATTTTTACTTATTTTCTTGCTTGCCGGTGCTAAAAATCACAGATCAGAGGTACTAGATTACGCTCCATGTTGGTGCAGAATTACCACCAGTCTCCAAACACAGAGCTAAAAGGCGCAAAGCAGTTAACACACTCTGTCACTTATCATATCCCTCTTGGTTATACTGGATAGAAATATTTATCAAAAAAGGAACATAGTCTTTCACAGTTCTGTTTTTTGTGGCACAGCCCAAATTTACAGCTCATTAGGGATTACATAGTGAATAGAAAATACCCTTAACAAAGAAGTTCAAAATACACTTACATGGTATGATATAGTCAATATATCCAATCATCACAACGTCTTCTATTAATCCCATTGCTTCCGAGGTTTGTCTTAGCTTTGCTTAACATGCTGAATCAGAAACAAAGAAATCAGGAGTGGTCTGAAACCTCTGCGAGGGTGGTGTAGTTGCCTGCTTTTGCCTCTGCACTGTAGACCACTGCGGGGGTGTCTTTCTTCCGATCGAGCTGGCACAAGATGGCTATACACAATACTGCTGACAATATCTAAAACAGAATCAAACAGAGGTGGTTTATTTTACTTCCTGTTCATCTTTTTATTATTTCTTGAGTTGCTTTGAGTCCACCTGCAATTTTAGAAAGAGGCTGAGAGAGAGCAGAATAGTCAAAGAAAATAAAAAGGCAAGTTTGCCAGCGCAGCGAAAACAGATACTTGCTCGCTTTCATTCAGTTTTCAAATCTGTAGTTAGCAACTGCATAGGAAGATTTCAGGATGGAAAAGAGTTTTTGAAACCCTATGACTGAAAATATTAGTGAAAGACGAATTTTAAGGGAAAAATTAAGACTTTGTACAAATGGGATCACCTAAGCAAAATTCTCGTAACATTTCTGTCAACAGCCATGCACGCTTTGTAAAGATCACATCAAAGGAGCTATAACCATGAGAGCTACAGACTGATTGTACTCACCCACAATAACATGACTCCCAGTGTTACGCCCAACACAATCCTAATCAGACTCATTATGATCTCGATGAAGTATGGAAGGCATCCCTAAAACAAGTAAAGGATTAATGAGATAAACCGATATAAATGGAAACAAAGTTCATAACAGCTTATAGAGTTTACACATCTACCTGTACTTGAAAAAAAAAAGATAATTTCTAATGAGAATGCCTTTAATACCTTTTCATAAATCATAATAGGCTCGTCACCCATCTGGCTGTTAAAGAGGCTGCTGTTTCTAGGAGCCGCCACCTGGAAAACACAGAAATTATAATTGTGCATGAAGTGTATGCACACACAGACAACATGTAGTTTTTAAAATGTGATGATATTTGTGTGTCAAAGCTTTTAAAACATGCTTTTTTAACTGACTGCAGTCATTTTCAAGCAGATTTGCAAATAACTGGTGTCTTATTTTTAATGCAGACAGACTGCCAACATGCTGCAAACAATCGAAATAAGACTGCATGATGGGCATGGCGTCAACGTGTTAACGAGCTAACCACGCTAACACGTTGATTTCGTGCAGCCCCACGCACGGGGCGATCCGTGGTAACTCGTTAATGTAGATTTGCCGCGTTAATGCGGTAATGGCGTTGACATCATTGCAATTTTCACCAGTTAATAATAGTTAATTGACATATTATCACAAATGCCAGCTTGACCCCACTGAGCCAAAATCTTAATGACGTTTTATCGCTGACTTGATGCACTAAAATTGCTTTACCGTCTGAAAATGGTTTGGTTGTACCACAGTCTCCAACCACTGTTTTCCCAAGTGTTACTGTAGCACAAAGGAGCCTGGTGGTGCTACTTTGGGAGGAAGTTGGGCTTTGTAAATGAAAATTTATTGAAAAATGTTTTTAACCGTGTAGGCATGTTAGCTTTCACACTTACACATGGATTAGTGGACTTGTCGGTGCATAGGCAGGAATTTGGGATGTTGAACTTCCAGTCCCGGTAGCTCTCCAGTCCGCAACACTCCAACTGAGATGGAATCAGAGAAGAAAATAAAGAGACAACTGCAAAACAACCATCTCCTAATCCCTTCTACAAACAGTTAAGTCTGACCAAACAGCATCTGATCTGTGCTGCTGAAAACTGTATCAGTCATGCCAGGACAGTCTGGTTGTACTTTTGGAAAAATATGTCCGTCACAAACAAGAAATTTATGAGTGTTATCTTTCTTTTGTTAAAATCAAGAATACTGCATTTCTTCTCTGTTCTCACTAGAGTTCTCTATAAAACACTAAAACAGCTATTTTAAGTTGCTAATATTATAAGAAGAGCATGTGCCTAGCATCCAGTTAAGTTGTGTATCAGCATTGTTTAGTTATGCCATTAGCCTTACATATTATATGTGAGCTCTGTTTTTAGTTAGTTTTGTTTGATCACCTCTGAAACTACTTGGAACTGCAATTCTACAAGATTATACTTACAAAAACTGGCACGGGCTATCCATTATCGCTGCTCACAAACATCTCTATGACCTCATCGGCTATTATTTCCTTGTGCCATGTTTACACTACTGGCTGCAAGTAATTTTCAGTATAAGCTGGCAATATGATGCCTCAAATTGACACTGCAAAATTTTGTTATCTGAAAGACCTTAAATTTGTTTACTTATTAATGGGTTGTGAAGCTAGATGAATAGCACACACACACACTACAAACACATGCACATCTTCACTCACAACTTCACAACACAAGGTTACCTACTTCTGTCTGTATATCATCGAGGAATTCAGTAGCATTAACCAGGGGTAAAAGGTTCAGGTACTGCTTCTTCACATCTTGACGTACCTGCGCAACAAAAGCAAAGTAATATACAAACAGTTAAAAAACATTTCTGTATCTTCTAATGTGGACAGGCACTTTGGTAATACCTGAGATTGTGAAGCCAGTCCTTGAATATTAAGCCCCAACATGAGTAGACTACTCAGAATCATTCCAACTGCATACTGACAAACAGAAACACATACACACAGAAATACGGGAATAAGGATCTATTTGTTTTTGTTATAAATTGTATTTTTATTACAGCTACCAAGATTCTTGTCTTCTTTTTTTCTTTACCCACCACTATTAGAGCCCACCGTATCTCTTTCCAGACACCGATTGCGCCAAAGATGGTCAAGAGAATAATTACCGCAGCAATAACATACATAACATGTATGACTGCAATCTCGCGTTCTGCCTGTGGAGAAAAAACAAAGACGCAGGTTGAGAGTGAGCAAGGGTGTAACCTGACTTCAGTGCCCCATGCAGATGTTGTTTGTCATTAAGAATACTACAGGAAAAGAAAACACTTACATGCTGGCATTTGTCTGACAACGGCTGCATAATATTTGCTTACCTATTTTGCCACTAATATAGAAATTGCTGCTGAGCCATATATGTGTTGTCGTACATACAATAGGACATTGTTAAATCGCACACACATTCATGTGTCATAATGCAAGGTTCTATAAATATACATTTTATACCTCTTCCTGTTGGTGTAAGTGTCCATGGCTAAAAAGACTGAATCCCAGCAGCAACAAACTGATTATCTGTAAAAACAGTAAGAGACAGTTCAACACTTTCAGGGCTGTAACAGGCAGAGTGAGAAACGCTAAGGTTACCGAAAGTCATCAATGATTTCTCCTCATCCCCAAAAGAATTGTGTACAAATGAAAGTATTAATTCTGCTTATTTAGAATTAAATGATAAGCATTTACATATTTAAACATTTACTATGCTTTACATTAATGATCTTGAATAGGTTATGTGACACCTGATCAAAATAATAATGAAAATATGAACATATAAGCTACAAAAAACATATTTTTTTGTAGTAAAAAGATGTAATGATTACTAAACCCCTTATACAAAACCCTTTTTTCAAACACTCAATATGTTGGTTAGCAAACTATAACATGGTACATAAGCTTTTGTGAACTTAACAACACTGACGTAAGCATTGTTGTATCAGATGAACTGCAAAACATGACATATTACACACAAATGAAGAAAAAATGCAGAAGCACTCTGTGGGAAACTAAGTCCACTCTTACTGCTTACACAGGAATCAATATGTCAAAGTGGAAAGACATCAGCTATGTGATTGCTGGTGCTCATTAGTCTGGTAATGCTTATACGATCACTTCCAAACAATTTTAGTCCATTTGTTCTACAGAGAGAAGGAGTGGACGTCTAAGGAATTCAATCCAGGGTCTGGCCATGCAACAAACAAATACAGGAGCTAAATATCAGATGCTACACGGTTCAGTTTGATGTTCAGGTTCATGACAGCACGTTTAGAAAATGGAAGGGATGTCAGGAGAAAAGCCTCTTCTCTCTAACAAAAACATGCCAGCACAGCTTAGGTTTGTACGTTTGCATCTGACCAAACCATAAGACTTCTGGAACAATGTCTTTTTGGACCGACAAGACCAAAGTGGAGCTATATGGCCATAATACACAATGCCACACTACAGCAAACTCAGCACAAACATACCCACTGTCAAGCACGGTAATGGAGGGGTGATGACTTGGGCTTATTTTGTAGAGACAGGACCTGGGCACTGTACCTGGTTTTTACCATGACTGTGCTTGTGCTTGCATGTCTTCAAGTAAGGTTTTAGCATTTCTTCAAATAAAGTCATAGAACTGTTCCTAACTATTGTGACGTATGCATTTTCCTCCAAAATATGCAAGAAAAAAAATAGCCTGGGAACTGGAACTGGTTTGAACAAATCCATTTATAAGATCTCTCACTTAACAGGGGTAACGCCTAAATACCAGCAAGATACTTAATCCACCCCTTGAGTATTGATCCATAATTGACTTATGTTGTTACAAGAACTGGAAGCCTAAGAGTTTGGCATCTACATGAGGAGCTCGGGGCATGAAATGAAACTTGATAATTATGCTACTTTGCAGCAAAACCATTGACCCAAAGCGCAGATCTGAGACAATCAAAGTATACTTGGTGGGATGTACTTCTGAACCATCTTGGTTCTTGGATTATGGTTTGGTTTAAAGAAAGTGCTGACATCTGTTAAACCCAACAATATTTGTTAAATAGAATCATTTGAATTTCAAGAATGTGTTGACTAATGACTACAATGAAGAGTAGAACTACTGAAGAAGTTAATCCAGCTTTACACTGTTATGTTAATCTGATAAATAGTTCACCCTGTACATTTGTTTACCCTTTTGACATTTGGCATCAGCTCTTATAGGCTCGTGCTAATCTTAGTGAAGTATTGCACAATGTGTTTCTTTTGTAACAGCTCTGGGCTAAATCATGTGTTGGTAAACCACTGTAAATCAGTAAATCCAAAGCAAGTGATGAGACACATAGTGACAGCTAAACCATGAGGGACAAGCTGTATTAGCGGGAAAAACATGTTGCATAATCCACTTCCCCTCAACTGTGGGAATGATGAGAAGAATAAGGTGGGAGAAGGAGAAGAGGGAGTTAATAGGTTGGGGAAACCAGAGCATCACGTGGTATAACTGCCACTCAATCAGGTTTGGTGGGTCCCAGATGTTGTGCCAAGATGGCGATGCTGGCACATAGTCTGTTTTCTACAGTCATTAATGTCATGTTGCTGACTATGTGCCAAGAGTGGGCCACATTTGCACCGTACGTTTGTCACTCCTAGCTTTTGTTCTGTTTTTTCCTCTTCATTTAACAAACAAACAACCAAACAAGCAATTTATGACATCATATTTTGGATTTTTGGAAACATTATGCGCATTTTAACTGTTTGTTTTCATACTTAAAAAAAGGAAAACCAATGATGACATCACATAAGACTACAAGCATTATAGTACACATTATTGTTTAATACAGCCCCTAATTTAATTGTTATTTAACAATCTTACCGTTTCCTGGACACTGTTGTTTTCCCGTCTCGCTAATTATTCCAATGTGTTTCGAATAAATAAAACAAAAATTTTAAAAAAGGGCCTCCTACAACCTTCATTGGCAACTCGATTGAGTAAAACTGAAAAGGGTTTAACTGCAGCATCTGGATAAAGTAGATTTTTACGCATAGCACGAGGAGGGTCTCAACATCTGCATCTAAACAATCTTTTAGCGCCTCGTAACCATACTCACCGCGATCAGACTTATCACGACAATGAAAGTCCGTTTCAGCCACACATTCGCTCTTCCCATGTTTGGGTCTTCTGATGTCGCTCCACGAGTGAATGTGTCCCTCAAAAGTGATAGTTTGTGTGCCCGTAAAGAAATAAATCTACTTTTAAAGAAGCGAGACCCGTTAAAGTCCCTCCCCGCTAGACTACTGCGCTCCCCACCTGGAAATGGTGAGAATGTGGGTGGGTGGAGTCTTATTCTCCAGCTCATGAAGTTGCTTAACCCTCTTAATTTAAAGCCTGAAACATGAAATAATGAAGAAAAATCTTATTTATTTTTTGCAAAATAGAATGTTTTGTTAACCTTATTACGAAATAAAAAATACCATTAATTTGCAAATCTGTGTTTAAATTTGCAACATAATTTATTTCGGTCCCCTAATAACGTAGAAGCCTCAAAATTTAAATATGATGCAATTGACTTTAATCCCTAAACGCAGGTGACTGCTAAGTAACATATTTATTACCAATGTGATCAATATTTATGAGCACGAAAAACGCACGATCATATATGGATGGGGTGTCATATTAACAGGAGTGTAAAGTTTTGGAAAATGTGAAAGAGGACATAAATTTTGAAATGTATTTTAATTAGTTTTACAGCTTTTCTAACAGATAAAGACTCCCTCTATGGGCATTCAACTACACCAAATTAAGTTATAGTTATATTTTAAAACCATTGAAGTTGTGCTTCTTTTTCTTATATTAAGATCTCTCATCTGTAGTTGAATTTCTCTACACTGACAGAAAAGGGAGATGCACCCGTCTGGCCCACATGAGATCAAAATTAGCTATATGTGATGTACTTGGGAAATATGACCGCAAATGGAGTGGGAGTGTGTGGGTTGTTTTGTTTTTTTTTCACTTTGTCTGACATGTTTCCTGCAACAAGTTCTTGATATAGGAAGTGCATTTTCCAAAGTAGCTCACACATACAGCAAAACACAGAAGACACAATGACAGTGGCTTCAGCTCAATTCTCTAATGACATTTACAAAGCAGAGAGCATTAGGTGCATTAATGATCATATACAGAATTGTCTATCTGTGTTGAAAAGACAGTTAATGTAGTATTTTTAATCTGTTATATGCCTTCATTCTGCCTCAATATGGTTTGGTTTGGTTTTTTCCCCTATTTCAGCACTTCATTTTCTTTATTTTCCTCTATTTTGCTCTATAGCATTTTGTGACTGATTCTCTGTACACAGCGCTTTTTAAATAAACTTTATTTACTTACCTTAACTTTCAATAACATATCTGCAACATTTCATTGCACAAGTCATCACAGAATATGCAAAATAGTTTATCTAACTGTCAAAGCAAGTTACAAGCATTCTCCACTGCAACCACTGAACATCCAGGGTATGGACATTGAGGCTGTGGACAGCTACAGGTACCTTGGTGTTCATCTGAACAACAGACTGGACTGGACTCATAACTCAGACGCCCTCTACAGGAAAGGGCAGAGCAGGCTGTACCCGCTGCGGAGACTCAGGTCGTTTGGGGTGGAGGGCCCACTCCTGAAGACCTTCTATGACTCTGTGGTGGCTTCTGCTATCTTTTATGGTGTGGTCTGCTGGGGCGGCAGCATCTCTGCTGGGGACAGGAAGAGACTGAACAGGGTGATCCGAAGGGCCAGCTCTGTTCTAGGATGCCCTCTGGACCCAGTGGAGGTGGTGAGTGACAGGAGAATGGCGGCTAAGCTGTCATCCCTGTTGGACAACGTCTCCCACCCCATGCAGCAGACTGTGACAGCACTGAGCAGCTCCTTCAGTGGGAGACTGCGGCACCCACGGTGTGGGACGGAGAGATTTCGCAGGTCTTTCCTCCCCACTGCTGTCAGACTCCACAACAAAGACTTTAACTGAACAAACACACACATCCACACATGTGCAATAACACTAAGTGCAATAATCTTTTCTGGCATCGTTGTATTTTTACTCAGTTGTATATAGCATTCGTATTCTATTTTTATCTTATTGTATATTTTTATTCTATTTTATTCTACTGTATATAGTATATTATTTTATTCTATTCTGTACAGCTGTGTACTGTATTTATTCTTATTGTATTCTAATTTTTGCGTCATAACTTTTGCACTGTCCACTTCCTGCTGTGACAAAACAAATTTCCCACGTGTGGGACTAATAAAGGTTATCTTATCTTATCTTATCTTATCTTAAAATGTGCTGAGGCCACAGCTGTAAGTGACTGATAAGTCAAGATACATTAAGCTGCAGAGTTACAGCACTGGGTAAACACAGAAAATGCGCTGATAAACACTGTACAGCCTGTTCACTGTACAGAAGAGGATATATATATATATATATATATATATATATATATATTGTAACATTCACAAGAACCAGACGGTTGGGTCTCAGTTTGTCCGTTTATTCGGCACATAAGCAAGCGGGTTGCTAACTCCGGGGAGAGCGCCCTCGTACAACTCCTCTCTCCAGCCTGGCACACACACACAAAAACCCCCAGGTCCCCCCTCCCCTTCCTGTACCACAACCAAACATGAATCTTAAAGGAACAACAACAGTGTGCAGAGATCACCAACATGTCACTGTACAATAACACTTAACCATCGTTACACTGCCCCCCCAGCAATAAGTTCCTCGTCCCTGAGGGAACGACACAGTCTCTGAGGCGGGGTGGTAGCCTACGTTCCCTCCTTGACCTCCTGAGCCCCTGAGGTGGACGCGGAGCTTCGGGGCTTTGGGGTGGAGAGTCCGAGGGAGGGGAACGCAGCCCCGGTTGGGGGTCCCTCTGAGCAAGGTCACGGACACTCTGTACACGTCCCTCTGGAAAGGAGGGGAGGGACTGCCCTCTGTAGGGGGCCATCCGGTCTCTGTGCAGCGCTACTATCCTCCCCCTAGGAGGCAACTGCACCCTGTAAACAACCTCCCCTACTCGCTCTAGGACGCTGCAAGGCCCCACCCAGCTGCTATCCAGTTTAGGACACCGTCCCTTCTTCCTCTTTGGGCTGTAGACCCACACCAGCTCCCCAGCATGGAAGTGCCTCCCCTTAGTGGTGATGTCGTAATTCCTCTTTTGGCGCAGGCCTGCCTTCGCCAGCTGCTCTCGGGCGTAGGAATGTGCAGAATCCAGCCGGTCCTGCAGCTTCGTTGCTTAGTCCCGGCCCGGTGGTGCCTCTGGCGCGTCCGGGGGCTTCCCAAAAGCCAACTCTGCAGGAGTTCTCAGCTCTCTCCCTAACATGAGCAGGGCAGGCGTACATTGGGTGGAGTCCTGTACTGCCGACCTGTAGGCCATGAGGGTAAGGGGAAGATGGTAATCCCAGTCCCGTTGGTGTTCTGAGGTAAGGATGGCTAGCTGCTGGGCCAGCGTCCTGTTAAACCTTTCCACCAGCCCATCGCTTTGGGGGTGAAGTGGGGTGGTGCGGGTCTTCTTAATCCCAAGGCGTCCACACATGGCAGCAAATACCTTGGACTCAAAGTTACGCCCCTGGTCACTGTGGAGGGTCTCTGCTGTTCCAAAGCGGCTGAACATCCCCTCCACTAATACATCAGCGACAGTCTCAGCCTCCTGATCTGGGATGGCGTATGCTTCCGGCCACTTGGTAAAATAGTCCATTGCCACAAGAACATAGCGGTTTCCTCTGTCTGTGCAAGGAAATGGGCCCATGACGTCCACAGCTACTCGCTCCATTGGGGCTCCTGCTGGTTGCTGCTGAAGCTGAGCCCGGGACTGGTCCTGTGGCCCTTTGTGTGAGGAACATGCATCACAGCTGCGGCAAAAGTCCTCCACGTCCCTCCGCTGTTGACCCCAGTAATAGCCCTGGCGGAGGCGGCGGAGAGTCTTGGAGACCCCAAAGTGGCCGGAGCCAGTGCTCCCATGGCAGGCTTCCAGCACAGCTGACCTCAGCGACCTTGGCACCACAACCTGCCACCTCTCCTCCCCCGTGGCAGGGTCCTTCCAGGCACGCTCCAACACCCCATCCTTCAGCCTGAGAGCTGCAAACTTGGCCCATAGCCCCCTGGTACAGATGGAAAACCCAGTGACCTCATCCCAAAGGGGTTGCTCCCCCTTCTCCAGCCACTGCAGGACCGGCAGCAGGTCCGTGTCTTGTTCCTGCCGTGCCCTCCACTCCGCTGCATCCACCACCAGAAGAGCCCTGCAGGCGAGCTGTGCTGCTCCGTCTATTGTCGTGAGTTCCCGCTCTATTTCCTCTCGCTTCTCACAGTAACGGCAGCCAGCTGCAGCACATGGGCGGCGAGAGAGGGCGTCTGCGTTAGAATGGTGCGTCCCTGCTCTGTGCTCCACAGTGAAATTGAAGGCTTGGAGCTCCTCCAGCCAGCGAGCCACCTGTCCCTCTGGCTCCCTGAAAGACATCAGCCACTGAAGGGCAGCATGATCAGTTCTGATAACAAATGCTGTGCCGCACAGGTAGTACTTAAAGTGTCTCACCCCCGCCACCACAGCCAACAGCTCTCGTCGTGTGACACAGTAGCGCTGCTCACTCCTGTTCAGGACCCGGCTGAAGTACGCCACCACCTTCTCCCCTTCCGGCCCAACCTGCGACAACACCGCTCCCAGCCCCACATTACTTGCGTCAGTGTCCAGGACAAAAGGCAGGGCGGGGTCAGGGGGGGCAAGGACTGGGGACTCTGTCAGCGATCTGCGGAGGGTGTCGAATGCCTGCTGACAGTCCCGGGTCCAGATGAAGTCACGGTCCTTCTGCAGCAGGTGGAAGAGTGGTGCAGCTATGGAGGAAAAGCCCTTCACAAACCTCCTGTAATAAGACGCCAGTCCTAGGAAGCTTTTGAGCTGTTTCTGGTCTGCTGGTGTGGGCCACTCGGTAATGGTGTGGATTTTTTCCTCCAACGTGCTGATGCCCTCACGACCCAGCTTGTGGCCCAGAAACTCCACCTCCCTCCTCATGAAGTGGCACTTGTCGGGGTGCAGCTTCAGGCCTGCAGCCGCCACCCTCTCCAACACTTGTCTCAGGGCATCCAGGGCAGCATCAAAGGAGCTCCCGTGCACTAGAAGGTCATCCAGGTAAACCAGACACCGTTGCCGTGGGACGCCAGCCAGCACACTGTCCATAAGCCTCTCGAAGGTCGCAGGAGCGTTGCAAAGACCAAAGCTCAGGACTTTGAACTGCCATAGTCCCCTGTTAGTGCAGAAG